TGTTGGTCTAGTGGTGAGTACACTTTTATTTCTATACTTGAGGTTTGAATCACCAACACAATAATCGGGTTCCTTACAAAACCATCTAGCCCGTTGAACTGTCAATTCGTTGACAAATCAATGGATTTTTTGGCTCATACGATCAAATTAGCAACCCAACTCGATTTTATGGCCGATTCACCGGATTGACCGGTTAAACTGTCGGCCTGGTTTCGTAACAATGCGTATAGCCTTCCTTGAAGCGATCTGCAATTCGGCGTCCACGTTTCATCACTAGGTTTATCTCTCGGTCGAATCTCTGGTTCTAGCTTGGAGGACTTACCCCACTATTTATTGTCTCCAAACCTAAATGGATTTGTCTCTTTGTTCATGTGGCAGGCAGCATCAGGTTCTCAGCTGCCTATCTGGTACAGATTGAAGATGACCTTCTCTCCTTTTGCATCTTGTACAAAGATCTTTTCTCGTAGTTCCAGTGTTGGCATGTAGCCCAGTGGTCCTCATCTGTTATTTCACAACTAACAGATTTAAGTGGTTTATGTTGGGTTGATAATATAAATCGAGATTTTGACATTGAAAGTTTAAATGCAAAAAATTGTAAGCTCACTTTGTAATTAAACAAAGTTAAATCTCATGTTCATAAGTAAAGCTCTTGAGTTTAAGAATGATGGCGCGTTATCAACAATACCTGAGAATCGCACTAACTTTCTTGCGAGGCTAAATTGCTAGCATCAAATTCAAATGGTATTGTCATTATCACTTTCTATAATTACTTCATGTCCCAAAAGCGCAAATCCATGAATCAAGATTCCTCTTTTTTTGTTCAAAAACCAAATCCCAAATTCCAGATCATATCTCATCTGATTGGATCTTGAAGTTTTAGTATCAAACAAACAAACATGAGGAATTCTAAGGCCTGCAAAACTTTTCACAAACACAGCGGCAACGAGATCCATATTCCTTTTCCTTGCAAGATCTTCTTGTAGAGAAAACGAGCAACCTCCTCATAGGAACATATTATACTAGTTAAAGATGAAGCAGAGAGGACATAACGACACATTATTGTCACCTTGACTATTTTGAGAAGGCACGACCTATTTGGAAACTCATGTTAAAAAAAGCCCAGATCAGTTATTTGGACCCAAATAAATCTTTCTCCTCCTCTGTTCACCCTCACAGACCCTCAAAATCGAAACCCTCCAGAAGAAGAAGAAGAAGAAGAAGAAAATCAAATTTGGTTTAACTAAGTTATGGATTATGGAGGTGGGAAACAGAGGATTGTAGCATCTGATTTGCTCTCTTTGGTGTCCCTAATCATCACATGCGGGAAGTGAGAGGTGAGGAGCTACCCCGTCCGGGAAGAAGGTGGTTTTAGGCTTATGAACTGAAAAGCTTCGAGCAAAACTCTTCAGACGATTTTGCCCCGGAAAAGTACGCCTGAAAGCCATGTAATGCTGATTCCATCTCCGTCCACGGCAGAATTAGACAAAGTGATCCAAAATTTACCATTTAATTAGTTCACTAACATTTTTGTCTACAAATTTTGTTAACCAAAAGTGATATAAATTAATAGTTTCTCTTCTTTAAATATTATGGTTTTGATTTTCCTAAACAATCTCGACCATAGATGATACCATTCTTAGAGTGTTATACATAGCAAAGACTCTTTTTTTAACCCGTGGCGATCATTTGTACAACATAAGACACTACTGCCTACCAACATGTACGTATGTAAATAAAAATCTTACATATCCAAGTTCTTGCGTGGGTTTGACTTGGAAAATATTTTAGTACATGTTCTTACTTCAAATATTTAGAATTCAAATTGTAATAATCCGTTTCATAAAAAAGATAAAGCAAAAAAAGGTAAACATATCAAACAATTTAAAGGGAATTGGCGTTGCCAATTTTCAGAGCAAAGTAGCTTGCAATAAAATTGTTTTTGGATTGTTTTGTGTGTGTGTTGGGGGGCCGGGGGAGGGGGGGGGTTCAATGTAGATTGCTATATTATGTAGGAGCTATTGTCCATTTGCAGCCGTGGCTTTGAATTATTGTACCAAAGTAGGCAGGAACACCGATTATGTGGACGGTGGCTGTGCAGCAGCAGATGTCATTCTCATCGCTCAGGGGAAAATGCCAAGGGAAGGCAGATCTCGGCCAGCCAGATAGTTATAGCGTGATACTACCCTCTTTCCGCATCAGGCCATACATGCACCTCATTTTGCTGCCCACGCTGACATGTGTTGTTTCTTGGGTACCATTTGATCGTCCCAAAGTCCCATCAAAATTCCTTTTTCTCCCGAAAATAATCCCTAGGGTTTGTTGTGCGGGTGGGGGGAGTCATTGGTACTTTCAAAGAACTAGTATTATTGTTGCATGATATGTACAGTTACTTGTTCACGACTTAGGAATTGGCAATACGGAGTTTCACTTACCAAAATTTCCTTTTGCCAAATTTTTTTATTCAAATGAATTAATCCACCTCCTTAATTAGCCGCGAAGCGATGAGTAGTAGTCGAAGGGATTCTTGAGCTAGAATCAAAGTTATACAACCCGGTTCAGTCCAGTCTACCGATCGAACCGGTCAATTCGACGATCCGATCATAGGATCAGATTGAGTTGCTAGTTAAAACCAATTAAGCAATAAATTTGTTGATCGGTCAATGACTTGACGGTTCAACTGATGAATTGAAAAATAATCGCCGATTGAACAGTCAATTGAACCACCAACTTAAAAATTTTATTATTTTTGAAATTTAAAATATATTATAACATTATATAATATAACTATTATGCAATCCGTGATTGAACCGCTCAGCCCGCAATTGAACTAATGACCTGATCACATGTTCAGTTGAGTCTCGAACCGGATTTAATAATTATGACTACAGTACTAGATCGAACTTTTGCACGTCAAAAATTTATCCAGCTTGCTCTACCCCATGGGCCACGCCGTGAGCTACCAACCGATATTACGTTGACAATTACTAAATTGTTGTTTAAGAAAAGAGTATATTACCCTAATGATGGTTAATGTGGTCCCAAATAAGGGTGATGCCTTTTTCTTTTCCCCTGTTTAATATTACACTGAGATTTGTGCTTGATTTGGAGAATCTTTGAGGTGACCCCCGACGAATTTTCAGCAAATTATTTCCTCTTCTGGTTGATGCTTTTTATTTGACGGTCATATTGCATTAGGCAACAGCAGTCACTACTGTGTATACACAACTGTTATTGCCCTTGACACCCAACGACATTGGAGTAGTTTGTTGTACTTCCCGTTGAGCGTAACCGATCACAGTTTGTACTTCCCGTTGTCTTTTTCATGTTAAACAATGCTGGCCTAATTTTTATTTCTGTTGGTGCCTATCGATTTCAGAAACAAAAACAGAGTATCATCTATTCATTTTAATTAAAAAATTTAACCTACATTTCCGTCAAGTCATAATCCGAAGAAAAGCAACTGAGTAAATCTGCCATTCTTCAAGCTTACCTTGCTTACTTGTCCAGCTGCAGAAGGAGGCCGTATAACTGACCGTATTGTGATGGTTTTCATTAATTAAGTATCGTGAGCCGTGACATACATAACACAGGAATTTTTCAGGATTAGATGTTTAAAATGCGGATGAAACTTTTAGTAATGGGGTGTGAGTTACTGTTCATAAATGGTAAAAATGACACTTGTTTGGATAGCCATTTTCCGTCGAAAAATTGCATCGTTTTCCAGATCACATTTTTTTATTACCTTTTTTCCTCACATACATCAAATCATTACAATAATTTTTCTATAAAAAAATTCTAGAAAATGTAATCCAAACACAACCGTTATCTCTGTGTACATACTAGCACTTGTATGTACACATTTGAGCACAAATACATCGATTTTAACGTGCACATTAGGTGTCTATATGCATTTATTAAAGTATATATTTTTTGTCCATTGAGGCGTACATTATGATTCGATGGAGAGTACGCGATAGTAATTTAGTCATTTAATTATAAATTTATTACCTTTTTGTTAATCTATTAATAATAATCCATATCCCATTTATAAATCATCTAAAAATAATTGCACCTACCTATTTCTTTCCAAGTTCCTTTTTCTAAAATTTGTTCAAAGAAAAATAATGCCAATTTATTCAATACCATTTTTATGTCACTTTTGTTTGTTGAATTTGATGGTTATTTTAGGCAATGACAAGTGAAAAAAAACTATTGAAATGTTTATTTTTATATTTAAAATTAAATAAATCTTATATATGCTTATAATGCATACAACCATTGTTGAATGCATGATACATGTATATAAATTGAAGTTAAAATTCAAAGTTTTTATAATGTTATTCATCTAAAATTGGCACTGTATTCACAGTCACTCGGTGCAGGAAAAATAATCATTTAAAATTATCACACACCAAATCGCGTCTCATTCATCAACTTTCTGCTCTCATCTAGCTCTAAAATCCAGGCACGGTGGTCATATCAAAGACAAGATTCTAAACGTCTAATCAAATTATATTAATCTACTAATGATTGTGGGAAAAATATAGCGTGAAGGAAAAAAAAAAACCAAAAGTGAGCGGGCAATGATGTTCTTCCACCAAATCAATAAGCGGGCAGTGGGTTTATCAGTACATGCTGAGTCTGCTGACACTGCATCTTTAATGAGTGCATGCAGACAACTGAGAAGCGGTAACCGGTGAGTCGTCAGAATGGAGTAAATTGTTGCTAATTTCGTACTGGTAAAAGTTTAGTATGTGCGAATTCTCCTCGTCTTCTCTTCTCTGAAGTTATTAAGAAAACTAAATATGAAAAAAATAAACTACTATTGATAAAACAGCCAATAATATAAAAACAAGAATACAGAATCCAAAGGCTTTTTCATGGGACCCATAGCCTCATCATGTCCCTATACAATTACAAAACGGCGGTCCCACTATCTCAACAGTGTCGTATGCCCGGGAAGAAAGGGGAAAAAAAAAAAATGTAATTCACGAGGCTCCTCCTGAGTACTAAGGTCTAATCTAAGTGGTAAGAGAAGCGGAGGCTCCCCTCAGTCCCCAGTTCCCCACTCTCTCTCCCCACCGAATGCTCACCAGTTCCTTCTCCAGAATCATTACAATACTCACTAGGGTTTTCATTTCTGTGCTGTATACCAAAACTTTATTCTTTTTCTTCTTTTCTTTCCTGGGGTCGAGTACATTTTCATGTTTTACTTGCAAAGTGCTCAGATCTTCGCATCTTTTGCAGCTCCACTTATCAAGGTAGGAGGTGGCCGCTTTTTTCTTTTCCTTTTTTTTTTCCTTTTTGTTTTTGGGCGATCTACTTTACTTTGATGTTGATCACAGTCTAACTAATCTACTCATTGCTTGCAAATGTCTTTAATTTAAATTCGTTTTAGCTGTAAATTTTTGGTAAAATTGTACTGATTACGTCAAGATCAATACTTTTCATGTTATTTGAGCTCCGAGATTATATTATAGTGGTGGGTTTTGGTTCTTTGGGATAGTTGGAGACGTGTTGAACATATAACTTTTGAATTTTTTTTTTCTTTTGCTTGGAGTGATGTGGGCTGTGGATCTTGTTAAGGTCATTTTAATTTTTTGCTCTTTGATTATTAGTAAATAAAAGTACAAACGACGTTCTGTTCTTCTTCCGGATTTTGTTTTTTCGGGTGGGAATATGAGTAATGGTATGCAGCCTGGTTAATATGTTACTATTACTAATTGATAAACTGTAAAATAAAGTTAAAAGAGGAATAGTGGTAAGGATGGATTGCTTCTATGTACATGAAAGACTTGGCCTTAGGTACCAATATTATTTATGGTATTGGGCCTATCCGTTGGCACTTGGAAGATAAGCTTCGACAAAATTTTGGTTGTTAGGATGAAGCTTAAATTGACAATGATTGATATAGGTTGCGCTTCAGATATTTGGATAGTGATGTTATTAGTCCGTTCTGGTCTATTGCACCATTGGATATGGATGGAGGCACCTTTGCTCATATAATGATAAGTATCTTGCTCATTTTTTAGGGTTACTGTCAGAAATTATTGATAATTAGAGGATTACTGTTACAATCTTTCAAATATTCAACTGTGTGTGGAGGCAACAAAGATGATGGTGACCAAGCAGATGAAATTGGTGCAGATAGGAGTTTCTTTTTAAAGTCTAAATAGTGATGATTGAAACAGCCACTTAATTTATGAGGCACTATGCTTTATTATTTTTTAAAGATATGCCTAGAAAATCTTATTCAGTTTTTTCACTTATTACAAAAAGATAATCAAGTTCTCATTCGATTGAATTGACAACTTTTATTCCTGATGTGCTTTTTCATTATATGAATTGTAGTGTGTCCATGCACAACTATATGTTTGAGAGAATAGAATCAATTGTTTCTGGCTTAAATAATGAGAAATGTGGTGTTCTTACAGGACATGGGTGGGGCGGCTTGCAGTGGCTCAAGTTTGGGTATTTCATAGAGCATATACGGTGAAGCTCCAGTTTTTTTTTTAATGCTTTCATTGAGGTAAAACCTGATTTCTTCCAAAGGATAGGAGAAATATGGTCCGCAGTCAATCTGCTGTTCTGTCTTGTCCTTGCTGTGGAGTTAAGTCGATGTGATTGGCGAGCTTTATCAATTGTTATGGGTTCTTTCAGTCGTAGTTGTGAAATTGTTGAATCAAATGACGAGATGTGCTCAACTCGGCATCCTCAAACATGTTATCAAGCAAAAAGACATGAACGAGAGTGGCAACCTCCAGTAAAAAAAGGATCTAATAAGTCTTTAGAAGATGATATCAATAGGCTTTTTGAGGGAATCAATATTAGGACTTCAAAGAGTCTGGATCTCTCAGACCGTGCAAATGCAGGGTTCTCCAGAAAAAATGCCTCAAAGAAGCCAATGAAGGTAGGTGTTTCTTATTCACCAGGAATTGGATTTTCCGATCCAGTGTCCTTGAAGCAGGCACTGAGGGGACTTTGTATATCTCAGGCAGCTGAAATGGCTGCCCTCAAAAGATTATCAAAGCCACCAGGATCTCCAGGGGTATTGGAACCTGGAAGAATTACAAACTTGTATAGGTCTGTTGTAATTGAAGCTGGGGATTCTGGTCTTCCCTTAAGTGATGTTAGAGAAGGCAAAGTTGAAATATCTTTGAAGCCTGAAGAAAGCACTTCGAATTGCATTGAGAGGGTTCACAGATCCCTTCAAGAGCCGAAAATGCCGTCTGCAACCCAAAGTGCCTACTCCTCCCCCCGTTTTGGTGTTAAACCCACCATGAAAAGTGTAGAAAACTCTCCACTGCACCATGCAATTTCCCTTGCATCAAGAAAAGTTGAGACCCAAGCATCAGGAAAAATGCGTATTAAAGCAGAAAGCCAAGAGCCTAAGAGTGAGTCAGCTGGCCAAAGCACCCTTCCTTCTTCACAACCTGCTGTTGAGCCAATCATAGAGAAGATGGGATTAACTCAGAGAGAAAATGAGATTACATCTACATCCAGGGAAATTGAGGTTCAGCCATTGGAAATGGTGCCCTCTCAGGGGGGAAACCAGATTTTAAGTTCTTCTGTTCCTTCTCCTAGTTATGCTGATGGTAAGTCAAAGCTTGACAAGAACACTTCAGGCACTAACAATGTTGCTAGTGGTCCAAATAGGAAAGTTGGAACTTCAGTGAAAATACTGGGCAAATCTACACCTAAGATAAGACGGAAGGGCAAGTTGCAAATGGTTCCTCCATCTAATGCATCAAAAACCAGGAAAGAAAGCAAGTCAACCAGAGCCACTGCCACTGCATCGAAACCTGTTACCAGGAATAAGAATCTTGCTTTGAAGAAAACAAAGCAGGAGTCATTAATAGCGGCAGCTAAATCCGACGCAGCTTGCGGAGTATATGGTGCTTTTGGTGATAATTCCAGCCAATTAGTTTGCCAGAGATGCAAGTGTTCCTTGAAAGATGTGAAAGAGGAGCTGAGTAAGGAGTCTTCATCACTTGCACATTCAAATTCTGCCTCCATGGTTACCACAAATAGTAGGACCTGTGATACAAATAAGCCTGGTCTCATTTCAAAGGACTGTGAAAATGCTAGCACTCCTGCTGGAAAAGGCAACATGATACCAAAAATTAAAGAGAAAGGGGATTTCTCACAAAGCTCAAAGAGTAGCATGGGTGAGTACAGCAGTTGTACAAGCATGAGTGAGGAGAGCACTGTAAGCGGGTCTAGTTGTGGCAATAGACCACACATGTCAAAAGATGTAAGGTGGGAAGCCATCAATCTTGTGAAAAAGCAGCATGGCTTCCTTGGTTTGAGCCATTTTAATTTATTAAAGAAGCTTGGTTCTGGTGACATTGGTACTGTATATCTTGCTGAACTGGTTGGAACAAACTCCCTGTTTGCCATTAAGGTTATGGATAATGAATTTTTGGCAAGGAGAAAGAAGATGCCGAGGGCACAAACTGAAAGAGAGATTCTGAGAATGCTGGATCATCCTTTTCTTCCTACTATGTATGCACAGTTCACCTCAGATAACCTGTCATGTTTGGTTATGGAGTTTTGTCCAGGTGGAGATCTGCATGTTCTCCGCCAGAAGCAGCCAGGCAGATATTTTCCTGAAAATGCAGCAAGGTAGAAGAACCAAAGTGTTTCCTTGGCCTATATTTTAAACCCTTAAACCACATCAAACAAAAAGTAGGTACTAGTGGAAGAAGTCATCTATCAGCCATAAGTGGTAATTAATTTTCTCGTAGTACTTGGGTCGGAAATCTGTGCTCAATAGGTCACTATAAATTTCTTGTTTTTTATACAAGGCTTGGACTTTTGTGAACTGCCGACCTGTTGGAAATTAATAAAGTGGGTATGCCGTTATTCTAATAGCTCATTTATAAGTGATATTTTTTGAATTGTGCGAGCTTATTGTGGAACCCCTGACCATTACTGACACGTATTGCATACAGGTTTTATGTTGCTGAGGTTCTTCTTGCTCTGGAATACTTGCATATGCTTGGCATTGTGTATCGTGATTTAAAACCAGAAAACATTTTGGTGCGAGAAGATGGCCACATCATGCTTACGGATTTTGACTTGTCACTTCGATGTTCAGTAAACCCTACCCTTATAAAGTCATCTTCACTTGGGTTGGAGCCGCCAAGGATATCTGGTCCATGCGCAGGATCAAACTGCATTGATCCTTTTTGTGCTGCACCATCATGTAAAGTTTCATGCTTTAGCCCTAGAATTTTACCTGCAACTGCAAAAACAAGGAAACAGAAGGCTGAACAAGCAACCCCGTGTAGATCTTTGCCACAGCTTGTGGCCGAGCCAACAGAGGCACGATCCAACTCCTTTGTTGGTACTCACGAGTATTTGGCTCCAGAAATTATTAAGGGAGATGGCCATGGGAGTGCTGTAGATTGGTGGACGTTTGGTATATTTCTTTACGAGCTTTTGTATGGAAAGACTCCCTTCAAAGGTTCTGGAAATGAAGAGACATTAGCCAATGTGGTTTTGCAAAATCTCAAGTTTCCAGACAGCCCAATTGTTAGTTTTCAGGCAAGAGATCTGATCAGGGGGCTGTTAGTTAAAGAGCCAGAGAATAGACTGGGGACAGAAACTGGAGCTGCGGAGATCAAGCGGCATCCATTCTTTGATGACCTCAATTGGGCACTGATACGCTGTGCTATACCACCTATAATACCCGACTTTTGTGATGTTGGAGTTCCAAAAGTAGTCTCTCAGGATAAAGGAAAGAGATTTCTCGAGTACAATGCTACAGGAGAGCACTTGGAGTTTGAATTGTTCTAGAGCAACTCATTTCTAGGACATGCTGTCTGTTTAGGTAATAATTTGTTCCTCTACTTTGCTGTAACTAATGTTAAGCTCATAATGTATATCCGGAATATCACGGAAAATTTTCTCCTTCCTGATCCAGAAATGTTTAGCAACATACTGAAATCGGCTGTGATATTTATCTGGTCAATATTGCTCTTTCATGGCCAATTATGCGATGGCGAATTCTTTGCCTGTATAAGCATGTCTCGCAGAGTGGCTACCTTGTTCAAAATTGCGGTAATCTGAAAATACATTTTCTTTTCCTTTCTGATAAGTGTTATGATTTGCATCTTTTAGTGAATATTAAATTCACTCTTTCTAAAGATAATGCAACATTGATTAATGCTTCTGTTGCATTCATTTCTTGAAGGTCTGATGTCGATTTTACTTATCAGCCTTTGAAAGCAGGTTAAATTAGACCAGTTATTCATCAGAAATTGTCTCTGCATTCTTGGTGCAACCAAGCTTAGTTGACAATTAAGCAAAAAAATTGTTGGAACATATTGCGCGCTTCAGGAACCTGGTTAGTCTTCAGCATCTTATAAGTTTTAAGTAGTTCTTAAATGATTTTGTGTTTCACATTATAATTAGTTTAGTTGAGGGTGCTTATTGAAGTTGGTAATTTGTAGCAGTATTGTTGATTAAGCTAGTCAAGGTTTGGGCTTGAAAATATGTTGCATATTTTAGTTCTCCAACTTCTGTCGGTACTTGGTATCTAAGAGTTAAAGTGCCCTTACAGAAAAGTAAATATTCCAAAGTTTCTTTAATACATTTATTGAGGTCTGTGCATTACCAACTTTTTAAGTGGATTTTTTTCGGGGGTGGGGTGTGCAAGGAGTATTTATTGTATAACGTATTGACAAATTATTCAACGGTCCTCTCTGCCTAATTAACCACGAATTAGCTGCTGAATGTGCAGCTTTTCCATTGAATGCTACACTTGGTTTGGGAGATAGAAGTGTGCTACTCTTGGTTATATCCTGTTTTAGGGAAGAGTAAAGATGAGAAAAGGGTTCCTCCAGCTGCTGTACCTTCTTTTATTTGACAAATTTAGATCGAAAGACTCTTCTCTGTACCAAAGCTTCAAAAATGGTAGAAGCATAAACTTGAGATTTTACAATTTCTCCGTGAAGCTCCAGAAAAGTTGTTGTCTTTCTTCTTCTATTTCATCATGGTCAAACTTCCGTCGTTTCTGGGATCTAAGTCATCTAACCAGACTTGCAAACTGTGAAAGAAATGCCGCATTGAGCAGAACAAATCCTCCTGTTTCTCACTGTCCTCGACATAATACAGCCTCTGCATCATTATGCTGTCTATTAATTTGCTTGTGTGTCATCTTTAATTCGAGCATTTAGCAAGGCTGCCACTACATCAAGGCTCACCTTTGTCAATTTCAATCTGGGACGATATCTGAAATGCTGCTAATTAGGGAGATTTAGATCAGCTGTCTGGATTGATTTCTTTCATCTGCAAGTCCTGTGTGTTGTGTGTGTTGAACCGTACATATTCCGTCCTAGATGCCATTAGTGGCCCGTGTATGATTGACTTGACAAAACTTCCCATGATGCGTAACAGAAGATTGTGCTGGTCCTGCATCGGTCATCTCCCGAGTTGTATACTCGTTTGCCGGGGTTTTTCAATGGGGTAAAACGTTAGACCATTTTTCATCAGCAAGTCTAGAACAGACCGCCTCATCCTTTTGCCGGAAAGGAAGAAGAGTTAGGGCTCGTTTGTTTCGGGTGAAAATCTTTTCGGGAAAAACATTTTCCTAGATTCCGGTGTTTGGTTGCAGAAAAGCTACTGAAGATACTTTTACCATGTAAAAGATTTTCGCTCGTTCTGTGTAAAACAGCGCGGGTCCAAAGTTACTTAAAAGTTGTTTCGTCCCACCGGCACCGACTAAATATTATAGGCATCCGTCAACTTTCAAAGCAATGTTTCAGATTGTGGTGAGTGTAAAATCAACAAAGGCCTGACCCTGCTCATCACTTTCCCTCTAATCTCTGTGACATCGATCAATTCGCCTTTAACGCCGACACTACAAATTTGCCAATAAGTTGGAGCATTGTCAATTGCGGCTGTCTCTCTTCAATCATTTTAGTTTTCTTTGTAGAGTTTTGTTAAATCAAAATTACATATCTTTGCCTCAGATTTGCCTTGATTTTGGTGCGCGGAGGTTGTTGTTTGATTTTTTTTTTTTTTTTTGTCGACACAGGAATGTCCGGATCAATTCTTACGGGGTCCGACTAATCCCCTGCGGCCCGGGCCTTGGCGCCCCAACCCGACCCAAGCACGGTAAGTGCGCGAAGGAATCCAGCAGCGCAGAGACTCAAACCTGGGATCTAGAGATTCACCAAGGGGAGGTGCCGCCGCTGGACCATTCACGCAGGGGCTGGAGGTTGTTGTTTGATTGTTGGTATACGGGTTTTAAACCAGATTTTATTTATGCACGACTCCATAAGAGCACCTAATCATTGGAGAAGAGCTGCGCCTATTTCTTGAACTCGGGAAGATATTCATGCCTTCTCTTCCGCGCTTTCATTGCTTGACATTTTAATCACCAGCCGTTTCATGGTATTGATATGTCTAGCCTGGTGACGTCAATGGACTGTCTTTATCTGTTTCGAGTGATTATGCTATTTTAAGTGGTGGGAACAAGGAATATGGCTTTTCGGTGGTGGGGAAAGCACCTGAAAATCGATGATCCTAAGGTACTTAAAACTAAGAATTTCAACAGAACACAGAAATTATTGAAAAAAGTGAATATTTTCCATGAAAAAAAATAGTTCCTTGCATGGAAAATACTCTCTCAAGGAATTAAGGAAAAATATTTTACGTCTTACCAAACAGAGCCTTAACGTGGCTGGTTTTGATCATCTGAGCATTTCATTGCCTATAAAGAAGACCATTGATTAACCGAAAGAAGCAACTGAGCCAACTGAAAATGACTGGAGTTTTGCCGGTACAAGGCTGAGACACAAAGAGAAGCTTCTATTTCTTCTTTAATAATACTACATAAGACCCAAATGAGCTTTATGTGTCATCAATATTCTACACAAATACGATGTGATACTTGACAAACTTTTGTGTACTAAAATAGAGAAACTAATTTCTCCTTTGAATAACTTTTGATATACAAACAAATAGTAGTATAGGTTAGTAGGATCTTTTAGTATGAAAAACGTTCCGTTTTCAGCGCTTTTCATATGGAGAAAAGCTTTTTTGTTCTTTTTGCTTTTTGACTATTCTGAGGTCCCTGTGAGGTTAATCCGAACTACTTAACCCAAAGTTAATTTTTTTCCCCTGCGTTTAAGACGGCGAGAGAACTATGACCTTAACGTAACAACAAAAAATTTTACAGCTCTAAGCTATATTACACAAGTTTCCTTTGCCGTTTTCGTCTTAAAGTGACAAGATGATTCAAATCAACAAGAGAGTAGATTCAATTTTTGAACCCAAAAAAAAAAAAAAAAAAGGAATAAAACTAAACTCTATTGTATTGTGAGAGCTTTCAGGAACTTTGCTGGAAATACATCTCTTTATCATTATCTCGAGTTCTCAACATATTTTTTTTTTATATAACCAACCGAGCTAGTTCAGTTGGCCACCAGAGGAGGGACTAAATCCCCTTCCCCCTCTCCCGTAGCATAGGTCAAGGGATCGAACTTTCTTAATTATCTTTTCTCTCCAGAATTTCCTGAAATATGGAATTAAATAGGTTTATCTCTATTCCCTCTCTCCCTACACGACCAATTGTAAGAATATTATATATAGTACTAAATTTTTTTTTTCCTATACAAGTATCATACTACTAATAGAAATTAATAAATGAAGGATAGGCAGCATTATTATACCTTCAACTAACAGCGTAACAGGAAACATACCTTTTCATTCGGCGGCCTTTTATATGAATTATACTTATTAGCTACCAAACTGGAGGCGAGGTATGACTTCACTTTTTCACTCTCGTCCATTGCACATCTCCTCTATAAATTGTCATATTGAAGTGCTAACGCATGTGGAGCTTGACATCGACGCCCGCCCAGAAAATTTAATAGGATTAGGACAACAATCAATATCCACCGGAGCTAGCTACCGCGCGCGTCTCTGTTCTGGCCTGGTGGATAATGCATATATGCTACCATTTCAGGCAGCCTCGAACAAGAAGCAGCTTTGTCCAAGTAGTCCAAGAAGGAAAACAATAATAATTAATATTACTAGGACGTGCTGCTCCAGGAAGGCGAAAACTACAAGTGTAATGATATTGTATAGAGATTGCCGGAAGAACCATGCAGTGAGTACGGGTAGATATGCAGTAGATGGTTGTTGTGAATTCATGCCGGCCGGAGATGCGGGGAGCCCCGGTGCTCTTCTTTGCGCTGCATGTGATTGCCACAGGAATTTCCATAGGAAAGACGTCCTCCTCCGGGGTCATGACGATACCTTTCCCTGCGACTGTTCGTCCATGTCCACCACTCCAAAGTAGGGCTCCTGGTGCTTAAAACCTGAGCAATCATTTCCAATTCAGTAACCATATGATGCATCATATTTACTATAATATTTTGTCTCTTAATCTATTTAAAATCTTTAAAAGAAAATCTTTTGCAGTAGTTTATGGAGTAGCGCCAAATTAAAGCGGCGAGAAACAAAATGCCTACTTGGAGTTTAATTTCTTTGTTGTAGTCTTTGGTTAACTTTAACTCATCAGGCATTGGAGTTTGTTGAGTCTTTCTTTCTTTCTTTGTTTTTGCTCCCTTCCCGACTGAATTCGTAATACTTTGTGATATCCACGTAAATATCCGCTTAATCTACAGAAGCCTTGAGATTGCCTATACAAGATTGTGATGCAAAAAAGGGTAATTGGTTTTAAATCAGAGGCAGCTGACAGAAAATCACAAACCCAAAAAGAGAAGAGTATCTAAAGGCACAAATTTAGGACACTAATTAGAACCCTTGTTCTATCGACCAAAAAAAAAAAAGGAAAAAATTAGAACCCTTGTTCTTGACTTTTTATCTGTTATAATTCATAAAAAGGTACAGATGTTATTTGATGCAAGGTATATAGCAGGCAATCACTATGGAATAGAGTATGTTTTTAACACAGTCAACATATATCCTACAGGCTACAAGTAGCAAATTTTAGCGTTGAAAAATGATGCTTACTAATTTAACAAGTTACATCGACACAGAAGGGAAGGGATGAGTTGATTAATATGAGGGAAGATCCACTTACACTTAAAAAATAAAAATGAAGTTACATTGGCTCGAGAGATACATATGAAAATAGCATTTACAATTCAACTAAATTACATTGACAAATTGCAGGGCACTTTTGTCTAGATTTCATGAAGTTAAGATGAAGCATATTTATTATAGAGAAACAAATAAGGCAGCTGATTTTCTTGGCAAATATAGCTGATTTCTTGACAAATTTGTTGGATGATGTAAGGGGAGTCTGCTTCCCCTTGAATATTGTACTGAACAATTTTCTTAAGTAGTTATTTAATTGAATATTTGTCCTTTTTCTACTAAAAAAGACATTTTTTTGGGTCAAAATTCAACTTAACTTTTAATTAAATTGAGACGGTTTACTCGAAAAACAAAAGCGGAAGTTGATTTATTCCTACATCCGTCTAGTGAAGACAAAGGTCAGCGGTGATAAGCACGATCGGGCCTTTTCTCTCTGTCGTAGACCTAGACCATTGGGCCCAATTTTGGGTTAGGAATTTGTCAAGACCCATGAATGAAAAGTGCTCGGCCTCCGCGCCGCGACCGAGGATCTTTCTCTTGTCCTGAAACTTTTTCAGTACACTTCTGACTTCCCTTCACTTTTCAGTGTCACATTTTCTTCAACTCTCTGGAGTCTAGACATCGCTCGTTTAAATTCCCCGCCACTCTTCCGACCAGTCTGTCCTCACCGGCTTCCACCGCCGCCGGACACTAGTTTTTTTTTTCGCCATGCACTTCTTTGCCACTTAATTTTGACTCGCTTTTCTTCTTTAGGTACTGAGTAACTCCGTCACTACCATTACCGGCGTTGAGCAAACTGATTTTATATGAGAGTTTAGGCGCCATAGGCCTAGGGTTCAGTTGGTCAGCTGCGGTTGTTTTTTGATTTCTTGGTTAATTTTGCTGGTTTGATCTTGAAAATTGTTGGAAATGAGCGGCTCTTCAAGGTAAAACAACAATTTCCATTCTGTCCATGGTTTCCTTACTGAGTGTCACTTTTGGCAGGTATTCATATGGTGTGCTATTATAGCTTTTTCGAGATTACTGCTTACTAACCTTTTTTTTTTTTCTCTTTGCTTATTTGACTTGTTTGAAAAGAATAGGAGGATTTTGTTATTGTGGTTATGCATGCTAATAAGGAAAGGATTTTTTTCCCCTTTAAATTCTTATTTCAGTGAAGACGCGAGCAATACGCTGCGTATACTGGTTGCTACTGATTGTCACCTTGGCTATATGGAAAAGGATGAAATACGCAGGCACGATTCGTTTCGGGCATTTGAAGAAATATGCTCCATTGCGGAGCAAAAACAGGTATTACCATGATTTGCTTCTGCGACGTGGTGTCTATGTATTGAACCTCAAGTAATATTTTTCTTTTAATGGAACTGTGGTTAATGGCTGGTCTCATGTTTACGTTGGGCAAGTTGATTGTCTCTCATAACAGCTTTGCTCGGTTTAATAATAAGTTGGAGGTTCTAAACCGATCTTCAATATCCTAAAGAATGATTTACTTATCAAAGCTGTAATTGAAACTCTTCTAATGGGAAAGGAGGAACT